AGCTCAAAAAATAAATGCAGTGATAGAATCAATTTCTGTCTGTCTCTAGCCCTACATGTCCTCTCTCATCTCTTACCACCAGCTCTGGGAGAAATAAAGCTCTCCACACAGAAGTGTAAACGCAGTATTTCTAAAGTTTAATACAAAGCAAGGGATGATACACATAAACTCAAAAGGCACTGCCAAATCAGGATAACCAATGAAACATTACACTCTTATCAGTATAGTTACATGAGAAGCAGAAACTGCAATAGCAGAGGGACACCATATTAGGTGAATCCGTTTCCAGAGAAATGAAAACAATTCCTGAGAAATGAAACTAAAGCTGTTACATATTCAAGATGGAGGCATTATATAAAATGGATGTCAGTTTAAAGATATATTTCCTTACATACAGAGGTGATGAAACACCACCAAAAGAAAGCTCTATTTGTGGGAAAAAAGGACATAAATTTCATTTGGGTGCAGCATTGCATGACCGCACAATTGTCAGTTAAAGTAATGCAGTGCCGTATCGCAAGAAAAATGACCTGGTCAGGAAGGGGGGTAAATCCCTGGAGGGCAAGTGGTTAAATGAAGTAACTCTAAGTTCCCTATATGGACCACTTATGTATTTATGCTTGATGATATCACCATTAATCAGTAATGCTTAAGAAGAATAAATTCATCTCAGCTAATCTTTCCTCATAACTGAAGTTTCCCATGCCTCTTGTTTGTCCTTCATTGCACTCCAGTTCCCCAATATCTTGTTTGTGAACTGGTGCCCAAAACTGAACTGCGTATTCCAGGCGAGGTATTACTAAGGCATGTACCAGGTTAGATCTAACTATTCCAGATTAGTTCTTACTAATGCTTTGTACTTGGGCAGAATTATGGGAGGGGGGAATTACTAATTTTTAAGGGTAAACCAAAATTTTCAGGAGCACTCTGTTCATGATAAAACATAAATGTGCAATTTCATTCTTTACTCCAAAACACCAGCTGGGATGATTAAACCTGGGCTGCTGCTGTCGGCCTCTGGACAATAGATGAATTGTTGCCCAGCTCTTATATAGAGGAATCAGCTACTGCAGTGAGTGGCTTTCCTGTGGATAGCTGAAGGATTGCACCACTTGTGAAGATGCATTATGGTGTTATGTCTTCATGTGATCAGAACACTTCTGGATATTTTGGTTTGTTGTAATTTTATCTGGGCTTCATACTTGCTAGCAGCTCTAATTCCAAAGACATATGTATAAAGTGTAAGGCAGATTTTATTAATACTGTACATTGCTTGTTTTTGCTGACATTGACAATGTGTTACATGCATGATTTCTCGTATCAGTCTGTAGTATATAGGGCTCATAAAATCTATATTGTTTTCATCAGTCTGACTTGGCCATAGATCTACACTGAAAAAATACCAACAAAGTCCAATCTCTGTGATGTACGAATAAACCAAAAATACAGTATATACTCTATATGTGATGAGCAACAAATACATATTCATATGATTTGTATTAGGTTTGTTCTAGTTACATAAATATTTTTTAGACTTCACAATAACTACATATTTATTTTAAGTTGTTCTTTTACTATAATTAGACAGCATTGTTATCCCAAACTATTCTTGCATGGAGAGTTAGATATAACATAACAAAGAATAAGCAAGCTGTAAGTATCTGACATAGAAAATGTGAACTACCCTCTCCTTCTTCACCAGTTTGATCCAGATTAATTGCTATTTCAAGGCGTGCAAAAGGTCACAGCTGAGGAGAAGAACATACAGTACAGATACAGGGGTGACTCCATCTATAAGAAAAACGATAACATGAGAGTCACCACAGACTGATTAGTACAGAACAGGCCATGTGTCAATGTGACACATATGCAACGTATAGAGGAGATATGAATTTGTCATTCATAGAGACATAAGGCAAACTAGGTAGCAATGAAGCATTGTGCTGTAGACACAGAATCAGATGCACATGTTTTTGTAGCAAAGCACATGTATGCAATTGATGGGGGGAAATAATACACATACCAGGAAATTCATAGGAAATCTGTCTCCTGCCTGTGTGACAAATGTTGCAACTTGTGACAGATTCTTGTTGATAAAGTGCATATGAATCTGTTGCAACTCTGACAGAACTGTTGAACCTTTTCAACCTATTAGAAAATGAAATAGTTCATGTTTGGCGCCTCTTTCCTTATTAACAATATGGCTTTTTTTTGTTAATTTTTCAAAGCAATAGTGACACAATGTTAACATATTGCAATTAAAAACTTCCAGAATTTGTCACATGTGTTAGAAACAGCAATATATCTGTCCCAAGGCTAAAATGAATTTTACATAGGACTTTGTAATATGACCTCCAGAAAAGTGTTTTTATTGACTCACCCTGATGGGTTTTTCATTTATACATCCCTCTACATGTAAAGGTAATGCAGGCCATAGATGGGTCGAAAATCGGCCGATTTTTCGGCCAAAAATAAAAGCAGCCGATTTTCGTATCGTTAGTGGGCTAAATGTTTGGCCGTTTTTCGGTATTTTGGCAGATTTTTTTTATCGGTAAAGTTGGAAAATAATCAGCCGATTTTGCCGATCGGCCGGTTTTCGCGCCAATGATGGGCAAATCGGCCGATCTTTTATCGATAATAAAATCTGTGCATGAGCAGTGACCTGCAAGAGGAAGACAAAAAGAAGAAGAAAAAAGAAGAAAAGGATGAAGAAGAAGAAGAGGAAGAGGATGAAGAAGAGGATGAAGAAGAAGAAGAGGAAGAGGATGAAGAAGAGGATGAAGAAGAAGAGGAAGAAGGAGAAGGGGAAGAGAAGAAGAGGATGAAGAAGAAGAAGAGGATGGAGAAGAAGAGGATGAAGAAGAGGAAGAAGTAGAGAAGAAGAAGAGGAAGAAGAGGATGAAGAAGAGGATGAAGAAGAAGAGGAAGAGGAAGAAGAGGAAGAAGAAGAAGAAGAGGATGAAGAAGGGGATGAAGAAGAAGAGGATGAAGAAGAAGAGGATGAAGAGGATGAAGAAGAAGAAGAGGATGAAGAAGATGAAGAAGAGGAAGCAGAAGAAGAGGAAGAAGAAGAAGAGGAAGAAGAAGAAGAAGAAGAAGAGGATGCAGAAGAGGATGAAGAAGAGGAAGAAGAAGAGGATGAAGAAGAGGAGGAAGAGGATGAAGAGGAAGAAGAGGAAGAAGAAGAGGAAGAAGAGGATGAAGAAGATGAAGAAGAGGAAGCAGAAGAAGAGGAAGAAGAAGAAGAGGAAGAAGAAGAGGATGAAGAAGAGGATGAAGAAGAAGAGGATGAAGAAGAAGAGGATGAAGAAGAAGAAGAAGAGATGAAGAAGATGAAGAAGAGGAAGAAGAGGAAGAAGAAGAGGATGAAGAAGAAGAGGATGAAGAAGAGGAGGGAAAGAGGAAGAAAGAGAGGAAATAGAAGAAGAGGATGAAGAAGAAGAGGATGAAGAAGAATAGGGATGAAGAAGAGGAAGAAGAAGAAGAGGATGAAGAAGAAGAAGAGAATGAAGAAGAGGAAGAAGAGGATGAAGAAGATGAAGAAGAGGATGAAGAAGAAGAAGAGGATGAAGAAGAGGAAGAAGAGGATGAAGAAGATGAAGAAGAGGATGAAGAAGAAGAAGAGGATGAAGAAGAAGAAGAGGATGAAGAAAAGGAATTCCAGTCCAGCAAAAAGTGTCCCTGCAGAGAGCTCTGTTATTTCTTTGACAGTTCCTTGACATTTATAGCGGTTGCAACAATGTATCTATTTGTTTCCGAATAAAAATATCTGTATCCTAAATGGATACAAATACATTGTTGCAACCACTATAAATGTCAAGGAACTGTCAAAGAAATAGCGGAGCTCTCTGCAGGGACACTTTTTGCCTGCTGTAGACGGGATGAAAATCGGCCGATTTTTTTTACCGTTGCTGGTAACGTCGGCCACTTGAACGACCGATTTTTTTTTTTTTAAAGAAAAATCAGCCGATTTTCCACCCCGTCTATGGCCTGCATAATACTCCAAATTGGCCTACACTCCTCAGCTGTGGCTAATGTGTCCAAACATCTAATAGCTGTTCTCCCTCTTCGACTGGTGCCTTTGATGGTTTAGATGCCTTAGGTAGATGCTAAAGATTCTGTTAAATTGTTATATTTCAGAAATATGTTAATAACTAACTTAAAATGATGTTTTCTACAACTGTACTGATAAACAACAGGTATAGACCTTTAAGGTATATGGAGGTATATGGAGGCTATCACAGCTAATGTTTTAAAAATGCAGGTTATGGGCAGTTATAATGATCTCGGTTTTACTAAGTTGCAGCTCTAAAAGGAGGATGTAGGACAGACTTCAATGGCTGCATCATGGTTCTGGGTAAACTTTGGATTGTACTGTCTTTGGTTAGTCAGCACAAAAAAAATCTATATTGTTTCAACACCTCAGGGCAAAAGAAAAGGTTTTGGCTGCATAGATTTACAAATATGTTAAGATGTGACGATGAAGCTTTGCATTTTTTGTGCTGGCTAGCTGGAGAGTATGCTGAGGAATTTTTGGATTGCTTTGTGTATTGCCATGTCCATGTGCAGTTTTTTGTGCATTTTAAATTGATTTGAGCTTCTGCTATTGTTGTAGCGTTGTTACAGGAACAAACCACATGCAGCACTGGTCTCTCACTGCAAGGTAATGAGAAGAGGGCTCATCCTGTAGCCAGTGGTCTGAAACATTTTTGGCACCAGGGACTGCTTTTGGTCTAGCCAATTTTTCCAAGATTCAGGGGTGTGTGTTGGTGTTCATGGTTCATAAAGTCTCACAACCCCCCTTTATATCAGTGTCCACAGTCCCTCTTTACATCACAATTCCCCCTTTAAAGCAGTCCCAGAGCTCCAAGTGGACTGCGCTGTAAAGGGGCACTGTGATATAAAGGGGAATGCACTGTAATGATTACAGTGCAGTACACCACAGTTAAATCACAGTGCCCCTTGCAGTCATGGGCCCTCCATCACAGTGCCCCTTGTAGTCATAGCCCCTCATCACAGTTTCCCTTGCAGTCATGCTCCCCATCACAATGCCTCTTGCAGTTATGCCCCCCCATCAGGGGCGGACTGACCATTTGGAAACTCGGGCACTGCCCGAGGGCCCGGGGTCAGTAGGGGGCCCCATGAGATGCCCCTGGTACCTTTTTCATAGGCTTTTTTGAGTTTGGGCAAGGACATAGGGGCCCCATGATCCCCTATTGCCTGGGGGCCCCATGAGTTGTCAGTCTGCCCCTGCCCCCATCACAGTGCCCCTTGCAGTCATTGCCCCTCCATCACAGTCTTCCTTGCAGTCATGACCCCCCCTTTCCAATTTAACAACACAGTGCATCTTCCAATTTCTGCCTCCCCTGCACAGTCTTACCTTTGGCAAGGCAGAGGCAGTTATCAGCCTATATCTATTTTACCAGGTCTTGCACCCGGCTATTGATGTCATCCTATCAGCAGGGCAGGGGATGGGAGCTGTCAAACTTATCATATTAACATGCAGGTGATTCCAAAGTTAATCTGGCTGAAAAAAGACAAAAGTCCATCCAGTTCAACCATTGAGAAAAAAAAAAAAAGTTATAGTCCAATAGCCACAGTTGATTCAGTTGATTACCTGCTTGTTAATATCAAAAGTCTCCCACTCTCTGTCCCAATCTGCAGCTCCTCCTGCCCCCTGCCCTGCTGATAGAATAAAATTGGTGGCTGGGTGGGAGGCCTGGGAGAATAGACACATGCTGCTAAATCCGTGACAGGACTTACACCTCCTGCTATGTGATGTAGGCCTGCTTGTCAACAGGCTACAGACTGATACTGGTTCACGGCCCAGGGGTGGGGGCCCCTACTGTAGCCCACAGAGGTAAATTAAGTCATTTTGTAATTGTTTGAACATGTATGTTTTAATCCCTTATTTCGATCATGTGCATGCTGCCACTTATTTGTCAAGCAGAATATTTCATATTGCATTTGGCAACAATATTTTGTGTGTTCTTCTACACACTAGAAACACATACCACGACTATACACCTTTTGATCTTCCTGTCAATTAAAATTTCAGGAAACAATATAGCAAAAATAAATATTCCTTATGTCTATAACCTGTCAAGGTAATTATATTTTCCTTCTACATAAATTAATAAAACAATTAAATTAAGATTCAGGAAGTGCCATGCACTCACATATTTGCTTTTTAAATTCAGGTTATTTTTGGTATTCTGACTGTTAATACAACTAATAGGATAAGATCAATAAAGGTCTAATCTATCTTGAAAAACACATCTTATAAATGACTCTAAAATATAGCTTTCATTTCTGTAAAATGTAGCACAATATTTCCTTTTACATTGTTGACAGCTATCACACATAAGCAATTTAAGAGTCCTTCACACTACAAAAGAAAAATCAACAATAGCAGAAAGCGTGTTTGTGAATGCACGGGTCAGTTTGAAAGCACAAAGCTTTTTCATCTGCAGAAGTCATTTGAAAAGCTTAAAGTTTCTTAAATATGTGGGGGAGGAGTAAGATGAAATGTCAGGGAGCAGATATTCAAAAAAAAACATATTACCATAATTCATAAGCTTTTAACCATTGGGGACATATCTGGCCTTGACTATGCACAAAGTGCTGCATTTAGAAAACAAATCTACGTGATTGAAACATTTGCAGTGATATTAATTACAGCTTGTATGTATTTTGCATTGGAAGTTATTGTGTTATTTAGAGCATTTACAGTTATAGAAACAGTACACTTTAAAGTAAAACTACAGGGATGTGTAAAACATCTTGTTTGAAACTACTGTCTGTCCCAAATAGAGAAAATAAAACTTATATTTGAAAAAGTATATTACCTGAAATGTCACCATATCAATTGGCCACCATGATTCTTTTTAACAGATTTTAAATTTAGAATGTATTGGCCAGTAGAATTGATCACATTGCAGCACTATACCAGCCACATGGTCCTCCCTCTGAAATAATTCACTGGGACATAAATTAATACAGTATAATTCTTTCATCTACTGGACACATTTTATGTCAATAATTTTAAGTCAGCCAACGTACATATACCCTGATACATTAACTTGTGCCTAAACTAGGCATGATTAAGTCTCATAAGGAAAAGTTCTCATAAGTTTCTGGCAACAGTAACTGTTCTACCTTTTTTGCATGTGATCATCTGTGTATTTATAACTACAGTAGGTACTACAGTTGGTAAGCTTCTTCAGGAGAAAGTTCTATGTGCTTCAGAATACCTTAGCTCTATTAAAATGACTGATTTATATTAAAGTGTTACTAAACCCATGATCCTGCATTCACTGTATCTGGTCTCCCACAGTACACAGACAATGGAAGTGCAATTATTTTAGTAAATATAAACTGCTAAATACCTTTTCTCATCAGCAGTTATAGCAGTCTTGTGACTTCTATCAGTGTTCAGCAGAGCACTGGTTAAAGCTTGCAGTAGGAGTTTTCTTTCAGTTCAGTTCTAGAAACTCAAACTGAGTATATGCAGAGTGTCTCCACACAATATGTTTTACCAGGAGATAAGAAAGGAACACTGGAAGAAGGGGAGGATAAGAGAAGTCAGGCTCAAACAGCATGTTTACACAATACAGAGGATTAACTCCTTAGGCTCCACAGTGAGTAGAACAAGCATGCTTTACTGCATATACAGACTGATTTTACTATTGTGGGTTTAGTAACACCTTAATGGATTTATGACATATTTTGTAAGTATGCTTAACATATTTTCTGAAATCATGACAATACCTTCTGGAGTACCCTTAGACCTGCAAAAGCCAGAGCAAATATAGGCTTAGAGAAGAAAAGTCAATGGTTGTCTTGCTTCCTCTCATTTCTATTACCTCATTATTAATTCTTAAATATGATGAGCAGCTTCAGTAATTAATAATGAAGGAGGGGAAATGAGTGGAGGTTCCATCAATTTTCCTGCTGTAAGTTGATTTTAAGATTAACTTGTTGCCGACCGCAGATAGCCGAATGACGGTTGCACTGCGGCCGGCCAGTTCTGAGTGGACGTCATATGACGTCCCCCCAGAACGCGCTCTCCTGCGCGCCCCAGGGGGCGCGCACCCCGGTGATCTCCGTGATCGCTGTGTCCTACGGACAAAGCTGATCACGTGATGTGGTAAAAGGCCAATCACAGCGGCCTTTTACCACCTGATCAGCGGTGTCCAATGACAGGCTGATCAGAGGGAAATGCAAGTGCGGTTCTCGGCTGCACTTTCCTCACGCTGTCAGATCGTGAGGAAAGTACTGCCGAGAACCGACAGTTGTCAGAGCGGGGATCGGCACCGATCATCAGGGCACTGATGATCAGTGCCCTGATGATCGGTGCCCAGCAGTGCCACCCGCAAGTTCCGCCCACCTGTGCCCTGCAGTGCGCCCACTAGCTCCGCCCACCTGTGCCCAGCAGGTCACCCACCTGTGCCCAGCAGTGCACCCACCTGTGCCACTCTGCAATTTCACACACCTGTGCCCAGAAGTGCCACCTACCTGTGCCCAGCAGTGCCACCCACCTGTGCCCACCCACCAGTGCTGCCCACCAGTGCCACCCACCAGTGCAGCCCAGCAGTGCTGCCAGTCAGTGCCACCAGTCAGTGCCCAGCAGTGATGCCAGTCAGTGCCATCTATCAGTACCCATCATCAGTGTCACCTATCAGTGCCGCCTATCAGTGCTGCATATTAGTGCCGCCTATCTGTGACACCTCATTAGTGCTGTCTATCAGTGCCGCCTATCCGTGCCACCTCATTAGTACTGCCTATCAGTGCCCTTTAGTGCTGCCTATCAGTGCCCATCAGTGCCACCTATCAGTGCCCATCAGTGCTGCCTCATCAACGCACATCAGCGAAGGAGAAAAATTACCTGTTTGAAAAATTTTATAATAGAAACAAAGAAACTTTTTTTTTTTTTTTCAAATTTTCGGCAATTTTTTATTTATAGCGCAAAAAGTAAAGCACCCAGTGGCGATTAAATACCACCAAAAGAAAGCTCTATTTGTGAGAAAAAAATGATCAAAATTTCATATGGGTACAATGTTGCATGACCGCGCAATTGTAATTCAAAGTGCGGCAGCGCTGAAAGCTGAAAATTGGCCTGGTAAATAACGGGGTATAAGTGGTTAACAGAGCCCTAAAGGTTTTGCCATTCCTGGGGCATTCAAGTTGGAATTGCAAGATCCTTGCAGCTGAAGGTGATTATAGCTGTATTAGTGCACAACAACACAGCTGAGTACTCTCTGGGGTTGATTTACTAAAACTGGAGAGTGCAGAATCTGGTGCAGCTGTGCATGGCAGCCAATCAGCTTCTAACTACAGTTTGTTCAATTAAGCTTTGACCAAAAAACCATGGAAGCTGATTGATTTATATGCAGATCTGCACCAGATTTTGCATTCTCCAGTGTTAGTAAATCAACCCTTGTGTGATCAGAGCACTTCTGGATATTTTGGTTTGTTTTAATCCTATCTGGGCTACATGTTCGCTAGCAGCTCTGATTCCAAGGACATATATATATATATATATAAAGTGTAGTACAGATTGTATTAATACATTGCTGGTTTTTGCCCACATTAACAATGTGTTTCACACATGAATTCTCTTATCAGTCTGTGGTAAATTGAGCCCCTAGAATATTTATTGTTTTTATCAGTCTGACTTGACCTATAGCTCTACACTGAGGTAAAAAAAAACCCCAACAAAGTCTGATCTCTGTGAGCCTGGAAGCTGATTGGTTTCTGTGCAGAGCTGCGCCACATTTTGCACTCCCCAATTTGAGTAAATCAACTCCTCTGTGATACTTTTTAAATTGTGCTAACAGTGACAATTTGAGGATAAGCTTTCGGGGTCTACAGCCTTTTTCTTGGTCCAAACAGTAGTGAAACACAAAGACTTGGCAAAATGCTATGAAGTGATCGAATGGGAGTGCCTGGGAAATGCAATGGTGGTGGTGGGTGGGTAGCACCCCCTCTGCCACCTGTAGAAGAGATTGAGTGGCTGTATAGCCATTGGAATCCCTTGCACATGAAATCATCAGCTTATGAACATTTTGATACCAGGATGATGCCTTTAGCTGCAGGCATCAAACTCAGTATAACCACTTCAATCTGATAATGTCATATGATGTCCACCCGGGGGGTAAGTGGTGAATGTGGCTGCACAGTTTGCAGCATTTATTATTGCAAGGTTTTGTTCCCTTGTTGTGTCCCTGTAGTCATGATAAAGTTTCCTCCTGAT